TGTTTTAAGCGCTCACTTTTAAAATAATTATGCATAAAAATATTCTTATTTTCGTAATTTAAATTAATAAAAATCGTTTTACTAAAGATACATTAATTCAAGGTTTTAAACGCCTTTATATTGTTACTAATTATTTTATAATTAATTTGTCTTTGCATTATGCTTTGACATGATAGCTTCAATTTTTTAAACATATAATTAAGGTTTATCGTATTAATAATAATAATAATAAAAAAAATGGTATCGAACGAAGTAAAACTTAAAACAAAATTAGAAAAACATGCCAACGATAATGTAAAAAGATGTCAAGCTATAAATGAAAAAATTAAAACTAAATTGAGTCAAGCACAAATTATCAAACAAGCATTATCGACTGGGAATTTACATAAAAATTCAAGTAAAAAAATTGTTTTTGGTGATTCTGAAAGTGATTTTGATATTAATAATAAAGTTAATAATATCAATAATGTAAATAATGGTAAATTAAAAAGTTCTAACGAAAATAATAATCAATCTTTATTTGATGGCTCGAGTAGTGATGATGAAAATATTGAGATTAAAGAGAAACCTCAATTTGCTGGAAAACAAGGTTTTAAGGTATTGTTTTGTTGTTTATCAGGTATGATTTTGTAATAATAATTTATATGTAGCTTAATAATTTATTTTAATTTATTTCAGCTTTTACAACTTCAAAGCACATATGGGAATGATGAAAGATTTAAAGTAGATGAAAAATTTTTGGATGTCGAAGAAGAAAATGAAGAAAACTATAATATTGATGATGTCAAAAATCAAGAAACTAATGATTCAGGTTCACCATTGAAAGCAGAAAATGCCAACAAATCTAAAAAAAGGTTAGAATTTATATATTAAGATGAATAAAACAAAATATTCTATTTAAAATTTAATCAAATAAATTAATTTTTATCACTTTAGAAAATTTGAAATGATTCGATATGATTCATCGATTCAAGATCATGAAAAATATGAAATCAAAGATTCCGTTTCGAATAATGAGATACCAGTGAAAAAGAAAAAGAAAAAAAAAACAAATGAAGATATTAAAAAAGAAGTTAAACCTAAAATAGTTGAAGTTTCAAAAGAAAAGTTTTTCACAGTATCAAAAGACATAACTAAATCTTTTAAGGAAAATAAAGAAAGTGCTGCTGGATCTTTTAGTTTATTGCAAACTTACGGTGAAACCCGTGAAGAAAATTTGGATTGTGCAAGCGATGAAAAAATGGATGAAGAAAAATTTACAGAGACAAATAATAAATTAGAGCCTCATAAACAAGAAAAACAAGAAGAAAGTGCTAATGTTCCTGCTATTGCACAAGGAATTTGGAAGGAATCATTTTTTTTCAGTGTCGATGATCCTAGACTTAAAGGTAAATTTTTTTTTAAATTTATAAAATATGGAGTAAAAGTATAAATTTCTACAAAATCATTTTAATTCCATCTTTTTTTTTTTTAGAGGGTTTTGAATTTATAAATAAAAAAAATTCAGATGAAGCAATGGCAGTATCTGAAAATTATGATACAAATCGTAAAACATTAAGAGAAATTATTAGATTAAGAAATAAGAAAAATTTAAAAAAGAAAAATCCATTCAAACATAAAATCGGAGGAATGTCTAAAAAACAAATGGCAAATATGAAATTAAAAAAAAATTCAAATAATTTTCGTAATAAAATATTTTCAAAGGTAAAAATTTAATAAATTAAAAAATTATCATACAAAATAAAATATTTATTGCGTGAATAAATTAAAAAATATTTTCATCACTGTTTTCAGGGGAATCCCGGTCGAAAGTTTTAATTTTTCTCGTAAACCATTCTGGAGTTTGTCGTCCTTTTGTAGGAATCGTCGAACTTTTTTTCAATCCCGTCGTTACTTTGCTACTTTTCGACGAACGAGGACTTAAAACTTCAGAAAATGTTTCTCCGGTCAAAATGGTTGAATCTTTTTGTAATTTACTTTTAATTACAAGTTCGAGATCCGATCCGTCAATTCCTAAAAGTAAGTTTTTTTTTTTTAAATTTTTTTACCGTTATTTTTTTTTTTTTAAAGTAAAGCAATAATTATTATTGTATTTTTACCCTTTTCCATCATTTTTCTCGTTACGGGTAAAGGTCTGGAAAATTTAATCGGAGCCAAATCGTAAAGATCGAGAGCTAAATGAGGAGCACAATTTTCCACGAGCATTTTCATTTTATCCTGTTTCATTTGAAGTTTTGTCTTTTTTATATTCATATTATTAACGGGTGCGTTTATCGGATCGATGGTTAAACTTTGAATTTTTTTAATCGCTTTCGAATTCGCCATATTTAACGTTGACGAAGAGCTCGATGATTTATTAGTACTAAAAAAAAAGAAAAATCGATGGGTTTTTACTTTTAATAAATACAAAACAAAAAATTTAAAAACAAATAAAAAATGTTTTTGTTTATTTTTATTTTTTCAAATTTTTTACATAAAATAACTTTATTAAAATTTTCGGAAATTTTTTTTTGTTAAGTTTAAATTACATCTCGTCTTCACTTTCTGGAGGAGTTTTTGTAAATGAATCTGCTACTTTCCACGGAGACGGTATGGAAGCGTAAAGTTCTCTCGATGGTGGAGGCAAAACTTTGTATTTTTTAAGTAATGGCGGAACGTTATATTCGGACGATGTGATTTTAAATGGATTTAATTGAAGCAAAGCGATCATGTTACAACAACTTATGACGATACTATTTCTATTCCATTCTTCGTCTCTGTAATATTAATATTATTATTATTATTATTATTTTTTAACGTTATAAGAAGAAAGGGAGGTGGTAAATTTAAATTTACTTTGATTCGAAATTTCTTGACGATAACCACGTTTCAATATCCTCGGTTACCGAATCAATTTTCGATGTGTCACTTCTGGAATCGTGCGAAATTAAATCTTCAAAAATATTTAGGGTTGTTGGACCTGGATATATTGATCGAGTGCCAAATTCTAATTTATTCGTATCAGGCTTTTTAATAAATAAATAAATAAATATATATATTTTAATTCGGGATTTAAAAAAAAAAAATTTATAAATTTTAGTTCTTTTTTTTTGTATACCTTAAAGGTCGAAAATTTTAATTGTAAACTCATTTGACAATAATAATCATTCAAATTCCAAATTTTAACTATTCCCTTTTCCGACAAACTTATTATTGCTGATAAATGTTTTAAAATTTTCACGTCGATTATTTTTGATTTGTGTCCATAAAGTGAAATTATCGGTTGCTTCGTAACAACTTCATTCCAAACTCTTACCAATCCATCATTACTTCCCGTCACGATGATATGAAGGGATTTGTCAAAATGAAAACATGATATTCCCTTTACGCGAGGAAAACTTTATTTATTTAAATAAAAGTAACGTCTTGTAATAACAATTTTGATTTTAAACTAACCCTTTGTACGCTAAATACATAAGGATGTCTTCTTTTTTCTGTGTGACGTAATATCATTGTATTTATTGTATCGCTACTACATGTTAGTATTGTTTTATTTTCCGGGATGTAAGATATTTGATTAATCATTTCGTTATGTACGTTTTTCTGGATTCTAAACGAAACGTATTCGGGTTGTTCTTTCAATTCCTGAAATATTAAAATTTGGATTTTTTTTTTGGAAAAAAATTCATTACATTTAATTAATTAATAGGGATACGTTAATTATTAAAAACTGAATAATCAAGAGAAAAATTATTACCGTAGATTTTACTATTAATAATACATCAAATTTTTCAATGGAACTTTTAGTTTAACAACGGACACAAAATATTTTTTTTAAAACTTTGTAATCTACCCTTGATAATAACTAGTGTAAAAGGAAAAAAAGAAAAGAAAGTAATCATTTATCTATACGTTAATATCAATGAATAAATTTTAATTTATTTTATTAAATAAATTTACCGTCCAAAGAAATTTATCCAATTTTCCAGGATCTTTTTTTTTAAAAAGACTTTTTTTAGGTTGATGAAATTCAATTATTGTTACGTCACCTTGATCATCACCGATGAATAAAAAACTTGGTTTATTAAAATCATTACTCGTAGCGTAATCGAGACATAAGGGAATGTTATTCAAACCGATAATAAGTGATAAAGGTACGTGTATTAAACCTGTACCATCGTATAAATGAAGGCTTCTATCTGATGCAGAAAAAAAAATTGAATATGTATCAGGTACAAAAACGGCATCGGTTATCCATGTTGTACCTGATCTGTTCGAAGGATTTTCATTTCCTCCTAGAAAACGAAGAAGAATTTTTTTTTTTTATAAATAAATTTTTTACATGTTGCAAAAGTAAAACTTTTTTTACTGACTTGAGTAAGGTTGAGGTGTGATCGTATCAGGTTTGAAATTTATTACGTATGAATCTAATAAATTAAATTTTCCATCGTAAACTCCAACTTTTCCAAATTTAGAAATAATTGCATAACAAAATGTTGCTTTGGTTTGAAGTGAAACAATTTTAACAATGAATTCTCTCTGCAAATGTACATAAATATACATTTTATGATATGTTAAATAAACTTTTTATGATTTATGAATTACCTTACAATGTGGAATATCATGTATTTCTACATCAGAATTAATTGGTTCCCAATTTTCATTTTTTCTTTCAACATTTTCTTCTATTTTTTTTATGAAAACATCTAAAACGTTATCCCATCTTATAAAATTTTCGCCATTTACAGTTAGTTTATCAAATAATTTAGATGCTGCCAATGATATCATTGGATTTTGACATATTTTTTCCATAATGTCGATAAATTCTATTTTATTTAAAGTTAAACAATGATCAAATTTGTCTGCATTTACACAATCGCTTTGTTTAATTTTATTCCTTTCTATAAAATAATTTTTAAGTTTTTCAATATCATCAATTTCCATTTTGTGTAGTATATCAAAGTCAAGCAGTAAATCCATTTCATCTTGATTATCTTGATCCAAAATTATACTGTTAAATTTCAATTTGAATTTAAATTGTTTTTCGTTGTTAATTTCAATTGAAAAATTTCAAAATTTAATTAAATACTTGCCTACATAAATTTTCACTAGACTCCGAAGAAGTAAGTATAGTTTGATCAGATTTTAAATTTAAATGTGACATTTTAACTTTTATTATATAATATATATAAAGTTATATAATATTTAATATATATTAAAATATATAATTGTATATTTTGTAATAAATGTGAGTTTTGTTTAATATCGATCAAACACAATTTGTTGCTAGTACGAGAAAATAAAGCTACGCCGTTACTTAAGTAAATAAAGTTCTTCTGTCTCGCGCCCAAAATTTCCCGCCAAATTATTCGTTTTCGCAAGGCGGTGACAAAACGTATTAAAATAAATTAGTAACGATATAAACAACAAGGGGGAAAACTCTCTCAATCGAAAGAGATTTATTTAATTTTATTTTAAATTCACCTTCATGGCGAAAAAAGAAATAAAAAATGGAATCGAGTCCTACAATGTCAACAGGAAAACCAAACGGTAAACGTGTAGAATATGTCGAAACTTTTGAAAGAAATTTTATAACTCAAGCAAGAGCCATTAATGAATTTTTATTAAAACCTTCACATCTTGAAAATCTTACGAAGTACGTACGTCGATCACCATTCGAATCAGATTTTTCAATAGTTGTTTTTAGAAGAAAAGATGTGGAATTAAAGTGAGGAAATTAAAAAATAAAAAAGATTATTTGTAATAATAATAGATTAATATAAAAAACTTTTTTTTTCCTGCTTCAGAGCAATCGAAGTTTGGGGAAATTTGGAAAATTTAGAAAAAGAAAAAAAAACTCTTATTAGTAAAAAGCAAGTAGTGCTTCAAGGTAATTTAATAATTGTTTTTTTTTTTTTTTAATTATTATTATTATTATCTTTTCTTTCTTTTTTTTTTTTATTGTTCCTTGTGAAATTAAACGTTAATTGTTGTATAGATAATTATGAATTGAGAAAAACATTAAGAGATGCAAGGAGGAATAAAAGTGGAGAAAAACAAAATGAAAGATTAAAAAAAAAAAAAAATAATGAAGTTTGTATGGTTATAATGGCATTTTCAATGTAAGTTTTCTAAAAATAATTTGAGTTTTATTTGATGATTGTTAAATGCGCCGCCATTTTCTTTTCTTTTTTTTTAGCGATTTATTAAATCTAACTTTCAAACTTATTTTATTCCTGTTTATTCATTCGGATTCAATATTGGCTGAGACAATTCATTCTGCTGCCGATTGCCTTAATCAAGGCATTTTATTTATTGGCCTTTCACAAAGAAAACAAGTAACTAAAATTACATGACGAATTGGAAAAGTGAATTTAAATAAAATGATTGATTCTCTGAAGAGAGTGACAGTAGTAAGAAAAATGTCTCATTACATTCAACGTTTCAATCAAAATCAAATGGAAATAAATAACAATATACATATAAATATTTTAAGAACGTTAATGATAGTTTTTCTCCACTTTAAAACGATTCGATTTAAAATTTTTTTCAATTTTTTTTTTGTTAACAGAAAGCAACGATGAATCATCCCTATGGATATTCCAATTTGATGTATGTTGTCTCTCTGATATCTGGCGTTGGAATATTTTGTTTAGGAGCTGCCGTTTCTATTTACAGCGGTATACTAACATTAATTAAAGAAAATGAATTACTAAATTTCAGAGAAATTTTTTGGGCGTTTCTAGTATTGTTATTTAGTGCTACTACGGAGGGAATATGTTTCATATGTTCGGTCGTTGCCACGTATCGAGATGCTAAGAGTAACAATTATGATTTTTTTTATTACGGTTGGTTTCCCCCCACCCCACTTCCCCATTTTCCCTCCCCCCTCATAATATTTAAATAACTTTCATATCATTATTTAGTATTTAAGGGTGTCGAACCCGGTCTTACATTAATTTTAATGGAAGATTTAATAGCAACCATAGGAAACATAATTGCGGGTGTCATGCTTTATATAACCTGGACGTCACTTAATTCCGTTCCAGACGCCTTAGGATCAATTGTAATTGGTATACTATTAGGGGTTGTTGCTATATTTTTAATAATTACAAATTCTGCTGCACTAGTCGGACGGTAAATTTCATCCCTATTTTTTATGACATCCAATCAAATATGACATCTTATGACATTCTTTTTTTTTTTTTTTTTTCTTTCGACAGTTCAATAAAAGCAGAAAAATTACAAGATATAAATAACGTCATCGAATCCGACATCATGGTGAGAGGAGTTTACGACGTTAAGGGTATAGATTTAGGAAATAGTTTGGTTCGTTATAAAGCTGAAATTGATTTTGATGGAGCCGAACTTACTAGATTATATTTAGATCGTATTAATTTAAATAAATTGTTGGAAGATGTGGGAAAAATTAAAAATATTGATGATTTAGAAACGTTTATGGTGACGCACGGAGAAGGGATTGTTGATTTATTGGGAGGAGAAATTGATAGAATTGAATTTAATATAAGGGTTTGTTTATTATCGGAAAAACATTTTTTGTTGCCAATTTATTATTTTTCATAATTTTTTTTTAAATTTTTTAGAACATTTTCCCAGAAGTTAGACACGTGGATTTGGAAATACTTTGAAAGTTTTTTAAAATTTTAATTTACTCTAGGAGTAAAAGGTATTAACTAATAACTTTTTATATCGAAATTAGTAAAAAAATAATTAATAAAAAGTAAAAAGGATTTATTGTTTCACAGTTGTTGGAATTTTGGAATTAAGTTACATAAATGAGCTTTAACGAATAACATTAAGGGCAACAGTAAAAGAAAAACGACGAGTTATTAATTATTTAATAATTATTATAGGAATAGATGATAAACAAATAGATTACATAACATTATATTCATTTTTTTTAAAAAAATGCGTTTTTGATTTTTTTTAACCGGAACAACCGTGCAAATTATTAAAGAAAGTTTAACATAAAATTTAATAATTATAACCTTTTTAAAAAAGGGTTGAAAAAAATTCAATTACGATTAATTTCCATTTTATAAAAATTTTATTTCGTAAAAAAATTTAATACAATTACTATAAAAACGATTAGAAAAAAAAAGCATCGATCGAATTTAATTAAACGATTCGTTTTTTTATTTTAAATAAAAAAAAATTAACGTACTAATACAATAAATATCACAATACAATTTTTATGATTATTTATTCGGTATAATTTTAATTCTTTCGGATCGTTGTACAATAATTAAAAAATATTAATAATAATAATAATTAATTCTTACGCACTAACCCTTCCTCTTAAATTAATATTTAAATAAATTATTATTGATTGAATTCTTACGATTAACAAAATACCCAATAAACTTAAATTAAAAAAAAAACCAATAAAATTATTAAATATTGTAAAAAAAAAAATATTTATTAATATTATGATTTAAACGATCGATTAAAAAAAAAACAAAAATTACTTTAATAGGTCACGTGATACAATATCAATAATTAAATAAGAACGAGATTAAATTTATAAAATGAAATTAATATCATACATCACATAAAATACTTTTTATTTTTAGTCATTTTAAAATGAATTTTAAATAAAATTTTGTTTGTTTAATGTAACTTCGATTTACATTTAGTTAAAAAAAAAAATTTTTTTAATACTAATAATGAGTATAATTTTTACTTCTAACAATATTACAAACTACTTTCGATCACAAAAAAATTATTTATTTTTTAACTATTAAATAGTTTCGTGTAAAAAGTATTCTAGAAAAATCTACGATTAGTATAAAAAAATGTAATTAAATATGACTAGCCGATTATGGAATTCCCTGTTAAATGTTTATGACAAACATCTCGTCCTGAGTAAACCGTGTTTTTACATCGTCGACCCGAACGACACACAGCCGAACAATATGATCTTGGCGAACCGCTAAAAAAATATTCAAAACGAACGTAAATAAAATTAAAATAAATTATTTTTAAATAAATATTTAATTTACCTTCCAGTAGAAGCTGGAGATGGACTGGAATGTAAAAATTCTCTTTTCGACTGAAGCCATTCGCTTACTCTACTATGAACAGATTGCTGAAAGTTATTGTAATAATAAGTAGTAACCACGTGACACAATTTTCTTTTTTTTTTTTTAATTATAATAATTTGATACCTGATATCCATCTTCTTGATATGGAGTAAATTCTCTCCAGTCGTTAAAATTTTCTCTTCTTTTTTCCAACGAAAAACTATGAATTATGTTATCGTCTTCGGGAAATTTCGATTTAAATTCAGAAACGTTTTTTGATTTTTTACCAAACCATCCAAAGAGAAAAGAAAGTAATTGATTGAGTCCTGAAAAATCAAAATTTAAATTAATTTGTTGTTATTTTAGTTACAATTTTTTAAATTTTACTTACTGTGAGTTATCCGGGAGTTATAGGGAATTCGTTGAGAAAATGTAGTTTTACGAACGTTTTCAACATTTTCCTCATATTTATTATAATCATCACATAAATAATCGGTTTCATTGTTTAATAATTTCTGATCATTTCTTTTTCTTCTTATAAAATAGTTGTAGGTTTGATGAAATAAAGCAATTGCTAAAAAAAGTTTGTTGTTTATAATTATTTGGATAAAATTTTTTTTTTTAACAATTGTCGTCAGTTACTTACCAATAACTGATGATGCTAAAAGAATTGTCATTTGAGAAAAATTTAAAGCCCTTTCAGGACCGTGGTCATAAGAAACGAATAAGTTTAATGGAACAATTATTGACAATACTGCCCTCGAAGTCGTAGAAAAATTTAAAAATGATGCGAATAACATTCCCAGGAGTAGATAAGCGATGTGAAAAGTTATGCTAATCAATCTTTCAATATGATTCCCTTAATAATTAAATAAAATGAGTTTTTAGTTTTTTTTAATGTAATAATAAATAAAAATGTTTTTGAATTTGTTATGCATTTTTACCTGTATAATCGAGATAATCTTGAATCCAGTATAATTTATCATCTACTTCATTTTTGGTCATATTAAAAACTTTTAAAAGATAATATACAGTTTCATTGATTTTTTCTAAATTATATAAAGTTGTCTTATAATTTTCAGAAGCGATATCATGTTGTCCTAAAAGTTTTTCTACACTTTTATCTAAAATGTAAAATTAAAATATAATTGAAACATAGAGATAATAAAATGGAGAAAATATTTTTTTAAATCATATTGAAAAGTACAAAACTAACCGATTTGTTTAAAAATTGTAGAAGCTTGGTGTTGTAATGTTTGAATGTCATGGAGAAGTTTTTCATGATTATTAGTTCTTTCTTCCGATTGGATACCTAACTGTTTGTTAGCTTCATCTAATGATAAAAAAATACTTATCTTAAATTTAATCATTAAAAACAAATAATTATCTACTCTTATTGATTTTCAACTAAGACTAATAATAACAGCATAACATTTTACCTAATTTTTCTTTTATGGTTTGGGTCATTTTAACAAGTTCTTTATTACCAGCTGCGATCAAAGCTTTTTCATTTGTTAATTGTTCTAAATTCATCGTAACAAAATCCTAAATAAAACAAATTAGACAAACATTTTAAATTTAAAATTAATAATTAATTAATGTTTACAATTATTTATTTATTATTAACTTACATGAACAGTTTTTTGAGATTTTTTAAAATTTTCCTGTTGTTCCATTAACTTTTGATGACCTTGTTCAACGGAACCTATAGTACTTAATGTCAAACTTTCTAATTTTTCTTGTCCTTCCATGAGGCTGGTCATTTTTTCAATTTGATTATGAGCAGTGGCCATTAATTTATTAATTGTCATTTCAGATAAAATTTGAAAATGAGCTCGTCTTGCTGCCAAACAAACAGCTCTGGCTCTGTTATTCATTAAATGATAAGCATTCCACATTGTAGCATCCATGTTTTTGGTACAATCTTTTAAACTCTGTATTGAAATAATAAAATAATATAGTAGAGGCTTTTAATCAAATATAATAATTTTGTAAAGTTTTACCATTGATTCATCACAAGGGAAAATCCTTCTTCCATCTACTTCTGATTGACAATTCAGCAAATTGACACTCATTTTTGCCAATTCTTCTTCATTCATTGAAGAACAAGATGTCTTAATTTGAAGTATAATTTTATGCTGGCATACATCAAGAGAAGAGGTTTTTAATAAATCTGTATATTTGGAAGCTTCTTCTAAAAATTTTTCATCAATTGTTTTATGCTCATATGGAATGGTGGCAAAAGGCAATTTAATTTCTTGATTCTGTTTGAAACAAAAAACTTATCTTTAATTTCAGTAGTCAAAAAGATACTGATTTTTAATTCTATTGTTTGTTTTTTCTGCCTGAAGAAAGAATAATTGAATTAAGCATAAATTAAATGCATAAGTTAGAAAGAACTAGTAGGTAATTTTTAAGTACTTGGAAGAAAATTTAAATTGTATATCAATTTATTTTTATAAAAGGATGGGATTTTTATTTGGAGAAAATTTAAAAAAAAACTTGATAATTGTAGAATAAATAAAGTTATTTTTAAAATTATAATTTAAAATAGTAAAAAGAAGTGGTGTAATTTTTAAAATTAAGAAATTGGAGTCAAAAAACGAATACTCCAAACAAAGCTTAACGTATTTGATGACACCTGCACAATTTTTTATTTGGAATAATTTTAAAAATGAAAGCTTACCTTATCATTTTCTAACCAAAACCAATTAAAAATGAATGCGTTTGTCACTTTCAGGTAATTAAGACAATTAAAAATAAGGCAAAATAATACATATTTAAAAAACTTGTGTTGCATTAACATTTTTGATTTAAATTTTTAACAGTTTTTTAATTCGGTTAGTCAAATTTCAAAGGAAAAATGTTTTTTTACTCTATGGCTTTCAAAAACGTTAAGGGATAGGTTTAATTTTATGCTAAAAATATATTTGAAAAAATGTTTTTAAAAGCTTTCAATTAATAAAACCGTAAATTTTAATATAAAAATATTTAAATTAAATAATTTTTTTCTGAAAAGTTGTTCACGTACCATACTTTTAATGAAATCGTTAATTTTTTATTTATTTTTTATTTTTAATTGATTTCTTTTATCAGAATTTAGTGTTTACCTATGTACATACGAAATTTTTAATTAATGCAAAAATTATTTTAATGTTAAAATTTATTTATGAAAGCATTTATTATTACAGATAGTTAATGTCCATTTAAAAAATCTTAAAAATATGATAAATAATAAGTACGAAGAATACAACTCTCAACAGGTTAATAATGTTGAATTTAATTAATGTAGAAAAAGTTTTTAGTCTTTATAATAAAATGTGGGAAAACACGATCATTATTTAATATCGTCTTATAATAATATTATAAAAATTCTTTATTATCGAACTCGTTTACAATTTTAATAAATTTCATATTACAGACTTATTTTACGTAATAGAGTAATTTTTTATTACTGATATTTAAAATGAAAAAATATTTTTTAAGTAATTTTTTGTGAAATGTAAATTTATATCATTAAATAAGTTAAATGGCATTAAAAGTTTTAAGTAACATTATATGTTAAAATCATTATTAGGTAAAAATAATGATTAAGTAACTTTTATTTTACTAGTTGTAATATTATTAACGAATGAAATTTTTTTCAATTGTAAGACCAGTTATTACACATTCGTTTTACAATTAAAAAGAATGGAATGCTTAAATAAACTTTTCCTTTAATGTATTATTTAATTTTTTCAAAGGGTTTAATTTAGTTTGAAATGAAAATTTAAAACAATTTAATTAAATATGGTAGGTAAAGTATTATCATATATTTTAAATTTTAAATTTGATTCAATAGTTTTTTTTTTGTAAACAAGGTAAAATTAAGCATAATTAGTTGCTTGACTGAAAACCAGGAAAAATAGTATTGCACATAGTTTTTTAAATAAATAATCAAAAAAATGGAATCAACTGTAATACAAGAAAGAAAAGAATCAAGTTTACTAATTGATAACCAGGTACACTTTTCGTTACTTGAAATCAAAAGCCGAAAATTATGTTAATAATTTTTTTGAATATTTCGAATTTATCATTTAAAAATTTTATTATAATTTTCAGGTTCAATGTGTAAATTTACATTGTCAATCAGGTATCAATTTAGGTGAAGCTCCAGTATTTGTTCTTACTTATTTTAATGTACCTAGAAAAAAAAATGTTTTACAAAAAGTTTGTGATGAATGTTTTGAGACTGCTCTTAAACATCAAGAAAAAATGTGTCATTTATTAAAAAATAATTTTTCACTTTTTGAAGCTGAGTTTCCTAAACAAAAAGATGATGTAGTCGTTATGGATTCAGTGGAAGAAATAGCAGAAGAAAAAATTCTTCCTGATTCAGTAGTATCAGTGGTATGTTTATTATAATTTTTTAAAAAATTCCATAAACATTAATATTTTAAGCATTTTTCAATTTATTTTTTTGTTATTTTCACAGTTTTAAAATTATCTAAATTTTCCTATTTAAATTTGATCTTAAATCAGAATGTTAAAACCTTTTATCTCTTTTTCGATTTCTTTTAATTAATAAGTTTTTGTTGTTTAATAAAATTTTTTAGGTAGAAGAACACTTGGAAGAATTACTTAAAGATGCTCTAAACAAATATGATATTGACTTTCAAATTGAAAGCGGCCAAAAAATCCTCACCAAAAAAATCGAAGAACTTGAAGGTGTTGTAATTTGAATTAATTTTAAAATTACTTTTAAAAAAATTTTTTAAAGTAATTAAGCGATTAATTGTAATAAAAATTTTTTTAAACTTTTAGCATCCAGGAAAATATTAAATGATGAGTTATTGTCTATTGAAAATCAAGTAAAGGAATCAAGGTCAGCAATTTACAAAGCATTTTCTCCACAAATTAAGGAATTGCAACCCTTAAATTTAAATGATAGTATTAATCAATCATATGGTAAAAAATTAAGAAAGTCAATGGCCGATGCGTTAAATAAAATTTTACCGTATAATTCTGCACCAAACGTTCCTATATCGGTAAACGCAGAACCTGAAAATTTTGAATCTCATGAAGTTGTAACTTTACGAGAGGTACATTTTTTCCACATGCAAATATACTTAAATAAACATCACAATTAAAAAAATATTAACGAGAGTTTAAAATTCTATTTATAGGTAGAAGTTCCCAAAGTAAAACTTCCGCCCATTGGTGCATTAAATTATCCATCGGTTAATGTTGGAACTTTGGTTTATGTTATAAAAGACACCGTTTTTGGAGTGTGGGTGAAAGCTAAAGTTGTTGAAGTCTTGAAGCGAGAAAATGATGTAAGAAATTTGGCAGAATAAATTTTAAACATATTAAGTCTTGGATTAACATTGTTTAATTAATTTTTATTTAAAGGGAGTAAGCAATTTTCGCGTTCAGTTTGAATCTTCTCATCAGGGAATAGGTCAAAAAATTGTATCGGGAAAGGAAATAGCTTACAGAAAACCATCTTCAGTTCGTTATCCGGTCGGAACGAGGATAGTGGCATTATTTCACAATTCGAAAGCTCCCTCAAAAAGTGCTTTTTATGCTGGAATTATTGCCGAACCTCCAAAAATTCTTAATATGTTCAGGTAAGTATTATGTTGTTTTTGTACATTTTGATTTAAACTATTAAAAGTAAATCTATTTTTATTGCAGATATTTAGTGTTTTTCGATGATGGCTACGCTCAATATGTTACACACCATAAAATTATGTTAGTATGCGAATGTTCTAAATTTGTATACGAAGATTTTCATTCAGACAGTAGGGATTTCATTAAAAGTTATCTGGATCAGTACCCGGAAAGGCCAATGGTTAAATTGCAGAAAGGACAATTGGTTAAAACCGAATGGAATGGTAATTATTTAGTATTACTCATCTGCTCTTGAAATCACGTGACTCACGTAAATATGATGTCAAATGTCACGTCTTTGTTTTTAGGAAAATGGTGGATGGCACGAGTGCTAGTTGTCGACGGTTCTTTAGCCAAGATGCATTTCGAAGCAGATAATAGAACAGAATGGATATATCGCGGTTCAACTCGATTAGGTCCTTTATTTCAGGAATTGGTAGCTGCGGAAGCTCGGAAAGAGCAAGGTGCTCTTTCGAGGCATCGAGGTTTAGGAATCGCTTCTTTGAAAAAAGTAAAGTCTAATTTTACAAAGTATTTCCACGTGGAACATTACAATATGGGAATTCTATGCGGAATTTTGAATTTGTAATTATTATTTTAGAGAAACATGCCCTACGTTGAATACAGCGTTGATCAAGATGATAAACTACCTCAGTCTTCGAGTTTAAGTAAAAACGTTGCGAGAAAAAGTTCAGTTTCCAAATTGAATCATCAAAATGATAACGCTTGTGAAAAACCGGTTGATCGGTTTCGTTTTAATGAAAAAAAAGAGATTAATACTAAAGGTTACATAAGGACAATGGCTCTTCCAAGAAGAATATGCGGTCAAATATTTGTTCCGCATCAATGTGGGCCATCTTGCGTTGATTGGACAAATTTTTCACCTGCCGTGTGTAAAAACATCAGTCCATTGGCTATCCCACTTTTATACGGATATGAAAGGTTTTAATTTTTTTTTTTTACTTTTGTTCTTTATTTTTTCAAAAAAAAAAAAAAGTATTGGGTTGGCCAGTGAGTAACTGCGGAGATTCCACCAACAGATAGTTTGTTCATGTTTTTGAGTACGTTTACGTTTATGTACAAACATGAACTTTTGATATCTTATTATTTGGTTCCTTCTGTAACAGTCGGTACCAAAATTTCTTTAAACTCTTAAATATTGCGCGAGCAAAAGACATTTAAACATGGGGAGCCAAAGCGAGCGAGTATTTCCTCCACATTTTCTTTTTGAAAGAGTGGTAATGCTTCACAAGCCAATAAAAAGTTGTGGGCCGTGTAGGGGATGAAACCTTAATAGAACGGCAGTGTCAAAACTGGTTTGGGAAATTCCGTTCTGGAGATTTTCCTTTGAAAAATGAGGAGCACTCCGGGCGTCCATTGGAGGTCAAGGATGAGCAAATAAAGGCCCTCATTGATTATGATCGGCATAGTTTGACAAGGGACATTGTAAAGAAACTAGATGTGTCACATACGTGCGTGGAAAACCGTATGCGGCGTCTTAGGTGCCAAAAGAAGCTTGATGCGTTACTTTGTGGAACGTTAGTTAACGAGGCGACTTGGTCTTTGCGATATGCTTCTTAAACGCAATGCGAATGGCCCTTTTTTGAAAGAATGGTCATCGGAGAAGAAAAGTGGGTTGTCTATGACAATGGTGGGATTACAAAGGCATAGTCTACTTTGAGCTGCTGCTGCCACGAAATCAGACCATAAATTCAGAGGTTTACATTCGACAATTGACAAATTTAAATGATACCATCCAAGAAAAACGACCGGAGCTAGCCAATAGCAAAGGAATTGTCTTTCATTACCATAATGCCAGGCCCTCCCCATCTTTAGCCGCTGGACAAAAACTACTGGAGCTAGGCTGGAATGTTTTGCTGCACCCTCCATATAGTCCCAAACTAGCTCCAAATAATTATCATTTTTTCCGATCCCTAAAAAATTTTTCGAACGGACAAAAATTCCAAATGAGGTCAAAACTGCATTGGACCAGTTTTTTGCTCCTAAAACTAAAGAGTTTTATGAAACATGGGAAAATGATACTACCCGAAAAATGTCAAAAGGTCATTAGTAGTAATGGACATAATATAATAGACATAATTAATAAATCGTTGTTAGTTACCTGAAAAAATTCGTAATTACCTTTTTGCCAACCCAATACTTGTTAAGAAGTACTTATATCTATGCATTTTAACTGAAGAATTTCAAGTCAAGGTCATTCTGTATAATTTATTAGCATAAATGGTTTTTTTTTAGGCAAATCACCCGTTGCAGAAGTAGAAAATCAGTTTCTTATCGCGGTCCATGTGGTAGAAGGATGAGAAACATAATAGAAATGCATCGATATTTAAGAATAACAAAATCAATGATGGGTTTAGATTACTTTGATTTTGATCCAAGAGTTCATGTGTTGGACGAATTTCATCTTGAACCCAGCATGTATTGCACTCACGTCAAAGTAAGCTTTACCTTTTTTTTTTTTTTTTTTTTTTCCTAAAGTAGGATTTTCCCTAAATTTGGTTAATGTTTTATAATATCTTTTAGGATATATCTTACGGTCATGAAAATGTACCCGTGTCTTGCGTGAACGAAATAAATCACAGTTGGCCATCATTTATGGATTATTCAACATCAAGAATTCCTCAAGAAGGTGTTAATATTTGTTACGATGAAGAATTTTTAGTTTGTTGTAGTTGCGTTGACGATTGTTTGGACAAAGAAAAGTGTGAATGTTGGCAATTAACTTTAGAAGGTGCAAAATATGCATTTAAAGATCAAATCGATTCGAAAATAGGATACCAACACAAAAGACTTCTTGAACCATTGACCACTGGAATCTATGAATGCAATCAAAGATGCAAATGCGGACCGACTTGTTTGAATCGAGTTGCTCAACATCCGTTACAATTGAACCTTCAAGTTTTTAAAACATTAAAAAAAGGTTGGGGTTTAAGAACTTTGAACGATATACCTCAGGGTGGTTTTATTTGCATTTACGCCGGACGTTTGCACACCGAGCAAAGCGCAAATGACGACGGAAGGATGTACGGTGATGAATACCTCGCCGAATTAGATTACATTGAAGTTGTCGAAAGGTACAAGGAAGGCTACGAAAGTGAAGTCATCGAACCCGATTTCGAAAATGATGATGAAGATGAAAAACAAAATTGTACGATGGACGCTGATAGGAGCTACGATGAACAAGATGAAAGTTTGATGAATAACGACGATATAGATTACGTACCTGAAGGTTTGAGTAGAATCCCAGACACGGAAAACATAGTCAATACTCGAGGACGAAATAAAAAAATTACGTCGGAAGAAAAATCGGAAAGTGAGGGAGAAAAAGAAAAAGAAGACGCGGATAACGATAGAGATTCAGAAAACGTGGAGGATGACGATGATGAAATCAGTAAAAAACCTTCAAAATTTACTGCTGCCGTACCTGTGACCGAAGATCAACCCAAATACAGATCGGTGAGAGAAATGTTTGGTGATGGCGCAGATGATTGTTACATCATGGATGCTAAATCAAGCGGAAACATCGGAAGATATTTAAATCATTCCTGTCAGCCGAACGTGTTCGTTCAAAACGTTTTCGTCGACACTCACGACGTCAGATTTCCATGGGTTGCTTTCTTTGCACTTTCCTACATAAAAGCTGGAACCGAATTAACCTGGGATTATAATTACGACGTTGGAAGCGTACCTGGAAAAGTTCTCTACTGTTACTGCAACAGTGCCGAATGCAGGGGAAGATTATTATAATTAAATAATTTCATTTGTTTTTTTTTTTTTTTTAATGATTACGTCATCATTGTAAACGTATGAAATAATAATGATAATTTTTTTAAATGTGAAAAATTTATTAATAAATAAAAAAGTTAAATTAAAAAGTCTACTAATTATTTATTTATTAAAATTAAATTATTACATATACATATATAAAAATAAATAAATTTAATCGATTATTATTATTATTACATTAAAAATTCATATTAATGATTGTGTATACACCACATAAGTTAAAACTTGTAAAAAAAATTATTATTACGTAAATATCGTAAAAAAAAAATTTTTTTTAAATTATTCTAACGTTTCGAGCCAATCATTTATTTTATTATGAAAATTTGTCGATTGAACCGAACGCACCGTATTATTTAAAATGTCATTTTTGAGTTTCGCCATTTCACTTTCGCTTTCGTCAGAATTCTCCAAAATGCTAAAACAAAAACAAAAAAAATTATTAAACCGTAAATTAAAAAATAAACATAAAAACCGGAACATGGAAAAAATTTCTTTGTACTTACATCGTGGAAGGTACATTACTCTCCGCGATGCTGCATATCGTTACAAAATCCGTTATTGTTTCATCTTCGTCCAACACAATTGTAGGCTCTATAACTTCTGATGATCTTTCAATCACGACAGCGGCTTCGAGAACTCTTAAACTTTTTAAAAATTGATAACCAAACGACTGAAACCGGAAAAACAAATTAAAATAATAGAAAAAACTTTTTGGCCGCCATCATTTTTTCTTTGAACTCATTCATCTCACCTGAGAATCTTCGAAATTTTTTAAATTTATTTCTTTTTCGTTTTCGAAAGGCGAAGCTAACATTTTAGTATGTTCGTTTGCTGCAACTTTTCCACTTTTTATCAACCTAAATTTAAAAAATTGACTTTAGACAACCGCTAAAAAAAAGAAAACCAATTTGTCAAGTATAAAAATCCTAACCTTCTCATTCTTAACCTGCTCACTTCATCTCCCATGACCACGAGAAGTGTTGCTATTTTGCACATGTCCTTATCCGACAACAATTGACGAATGTCTTCATTTTTTAATTTTTGCGATATTTGAACTGTTACTTTCGCATCCGGATGAAGGACGTAGCTGGTGGGTGTTACCGAAAGTTTATGACCCAAAGAAATCACTTTAACGAAAAAAAAAAAAGAAAAAATTATTTTTGAGCTCTCTTCTCCCTCCCCCTACCCCCCGTTTCAACCGTAGCGTAAATTACTTTCTGAACTTGTTTTTATCAATATGAAACCAGGAATTCTTCCCGTGTTTTTAAATTCTAAATTTCTATTGAAAAATTGTGCGTTTGATGAATTTTGCAAAACGATCATTTTCGCTCCGTTTAAATCCGATTTTATGTTGTTGATGAACAAATTCGGGGATCCACCCATTCCGTTTAATAAAATCTTCAATCAAAAAAAGTTTATTAATAATGATGATATTACGACGCGCCATAATTAAAATTTTCTTTTTTTTTTATTTTTTTTTTACCACTTTTTTTCCGCTTATTTGATTTGTTTGTATTAATAATCCGTTGTGATGTGGTCCTGTGAAATCCGGACGAAAAGATATTGTTAATAAATACGGAATGTTGGGTTTTAAAACTTTTAACATTTTTCTTACTTTTTCTCCATTTTCATTAATTAACTGTGTAACAAAAAAAAAAAAAAATTAAATAAAATCGTATTTATAAAAAAATAATAATAATAATAAATTACCTTAAATGATTCTGAATCGTTTTTAAATGATATCCGAGCTTTACAGGTTATATCGGATGCATTTTTCAAATAAAACGTTTGCCTTATTTCATTATCGAGGGGAACCGATAACCAACTTAACGATTGCATTGTCGTGAGTAATTTTATGGGTACCGATTCGGTATTTGAAAATGATTTCGTTAATTCTGTAAAAAAATTCAAATTTAACATCAATTTTTCTATTTTTTTTTGGAGCAATTTCCGGTTATTGTTAAAGTTTTTCTGATATGTTATCATACCGCTACAATTTGACAAACCGGATATCGATCTGCTTATCACGCTGGGACTGACTAGACCGATTAATTCAACTTCGTAATGTACTCGACCGTTGGGTTTTAATGTAAAAATCAATAATCTGAAATGATAAATTAAAATTTTTTTTATTTATTTGCAACGAGACAGACGACCATTGACAATAAAAAAAAAAAAAAAAAAAAAAAATTTTTTTTTCACCTTTTTATCGAATTTTCTTTCATTTTCGAATTAAATGTTATGCTCACGGCCGATTCTTCTCCTGCGGGTAAATAAAATGATTTCGGTACAATAAAAATCCCATCGTTTTCTTCTTTTTTACTTTCTTCGTTTTGAACTTTTATCGAAAAAGTGATGGGTAATTGTCCGACATTTTTCAAAGGAAACAACCTGAAAATTATTTAGTCGTTAAAAAAACGACTTCCGCAACTCAAAAAAAATTCTACAGTGAAATTAAATTTTTTTTTTTAAACCTCGTTAACGATTTTCCTCTTTCCGATAATTTGAAAACAAATGGCGAACATGATGAAAACATGAAAAATTTTGGTGAACTCACGGAACCTTTTATCGGTATCGTTTCTAATATTCCATCGGATTCCGTATCCGTTCCCAATCTTATTATTAAATTTCCTTTAAAATCTATTTTTTTATCTTAAACAAAAAAAAATCGTTAATTATAAACAGCCAAAAAAAAGGAAAAAAAGTTCATTTTGGAACAACCGAAACCCTCACCTTTACTGTTCAAATGAACGTTCGGTTGAAAAACGACAACAAAATCCAAATGTTGTTTTTCTCCTTTTTTAAAAAAAAAACTAAATTTTTGATTCGTCACTTCTTGTACGCTTTTATTTTTTGAAGAAGAATTTACAGTAAATTTTAAAAAAAATTGAGGATTTTCCACATCGTCCTTTTTATTAAAAAATAAATAAAAAATCTCATTAATAAATAAATACAGAAGAAAATTTATAAATTTTTCCTTCAAGTCACCTCTTCAATGTAAATTAACAAAGGTAATTCGGATATTCCATCAAAAGTTATTTGAATGGTTCTTTGATCGAAACATTGATCGGCAATATGTCCGAAATTAATCATATCCTTAGGGATGATGTTCAAACTGTTTACCGGATTGACATTATTCACTCTTAATTCTAAATCCCTCGTTTGAATGCTTTTCCCGAAAAATTGTTTAAATGAAAAAGTCAATAGAAAATCAGTTTTTGCTGGAATGCACGGAGTGAAAGAAATCTAAAAAATAAAAAAAAGAAAATTTAATAAATTTAATGATAAATTTGAAATTTACAAATTGAATTCAATTTTACTTGGATTGACTGTTTACTCCCTGGAGGTATGACGGTGTCTTTCATCGACAGAAAAGCAAAATCGCAAGTGTTCCATACGCCATTTTTTTTCGCTCCTTGAAATTTATGACCGTTGGATCCGAACAATGTGACAGAATTAATTGAAACGAATAGCCAATTTTTAGAAGTGTTCATTAAAGGAACAAATATTTCTTTTTTCACTTCCACAAACGCGTATATTTTTTTCTTGTAGCCCATCTGATTAGGAAATTTTACCCACGAATCTACAAAAAAAATTAGCATGAGCTCAAATTATGTTTCTGTAAAATAATGTTACTCGAATTTGTTTAAAATAGAATAAAATAATTTACTAGGTTCAGAAAAAAGCGAGGCTTCGGACTTTTCCAAACTAGAAATGACGGAATTCTCTTCGGTAAGTGGCGCGGAATATGCGGATAACAACTCTGGAAATTGATCTCGAATCAATGGAGTTAAAGCTGAACAATCAACGCTTCCTGGAACAGAGAGAGTTAAAACTAAAATTGCAGTTTGATTTTCTTCACATAAAGTTTTTTTTTTTGTATAAAAATAAGAAACCTTTTGGAAAACCGGCCAACTTTTGAACGACCGAAAGCAATACGGGTTCTTCAGATCTTACAATACAAACTCCATCTTCTTTCATTTCTTCTATTCTTTTGGATAAAATTGTTAGGTCTCCGGCCACAATGGTACCTTCGATTGCATCATTATCGTTCACAATAATTGTACTATTTTTCCTGTTTGATTCCGAACTCGAAATTGAATTTAAACTAATCGTTAAAGTTTTTTCATTATCATCAACATCTTCGCTTTTAAAGCCGGGAGTAGGTTGTATGAAGCTGACTTTCGGGGCTTCCCAGTCATTTTCTTGCATTTTAACTTCATTGCATGCGGTTTGAAATTTGTCATCTTGCGATTTCAAATGTCTCATTTTCGGAGTGGAAGCGTCAAAACCTTTTTTTCCTTTTAAGCTTTTTATTTTTTCATGTCTCAAAATGGAAATACTTTGATCAGCATTTAAATCACTTCGTAAATGAATCGGTCTGCTATTATCGAAATTACTATTCAGAGACTGTGATGATTTAGACGTATCAAGAAGAGCATTAAAATTTTTCGGTTCTTTTTTTGAATTGCTATTAAATTCGTCATTTAACGACGATTTACAATCTTCATTTTTTTTTTGATTTTTTGAACTTTTCGGAGTTTCGTTATTTTCATGAAATTGTTTGGTTAAGGGTTTATTATTGTTTTCTTTCTCCGCGATATTTTTTGTTCCGTAGGTTTTGATTAACTTTTCATAAATTTGGGTGCCCGTTAATCCAGGTTCCATTTCCGCTATAATGTTTTGAATAAACAAGGTACTGTTACTGGCATTTGAATCGCTTGAAATCCTGTTGGCTTTAAAACTTTCCGATGCTGTTTTTGTGTCATAAGTTGAGAAGCATCTACGTGGCATAATTTTATCTGATTTTTTTATATTTGAACCAAGTATTTTCGACTCGGGATTAACAGAATTCTGAGTTTCATCTACAGATGTTAAAAGAAACTGTTTATATTTATCTAAAAACAAATAAATACCATTTCTTTTGTGAGGTTTATTTTAAAATTCATAATAAAATATTTCATATGTAAATAATTTTAAAGAAATTTGATTTCTACTACCACTAATTTTTGATGAACCCAGCAAGGAACTAATTCTATCAGATCTTTTATTAAAAAACTCCCCAATTGATAACTTATTGATTTCCTCTTCTTTACTGTTTAATTCTCCAAAAGGCCTAAAAAATTAAATTAAGTAAATGTAATTAAGTCAATGATTTTTTGTAGGCATAATTTTGATAATTTTTACCAATGAGAAGCATCTGCTATTCCTGAAAATTGGGATATGTTACTATTATGAAGTAAGGCAGAATTTTCAAGCTTAAATTGTCTTTCATCTTCCTCTAATCTATTGATTTGATCTTCTGCAAAAATTTAGGTTATAGGAATAAGCATAAATAAAAGCACTTTAATTAAATTAAATTAAAATATAAATTGAAGTTTGACTACCTGTAGTTTGACTTTCGAACGTCCAATTAGAATTTATGCTGCACTTATTAAAATCATTTATAAGACTATTTAGTTTTTTTTTATACTGTGATTGTCTGATTTTATCTGCATTTGATGCAGTTTCATAAGAATCATTGTTTTTGTTTTGATTTGTCATTAAAAAATCATTTGTGTTAAATGAATTTAATTCATCATTAAAACATCTAGGAGTATCGGGGCTAAAATTCGGATTAAACCATTTTTTTTCTAAATCTTTATTTAATGGTTTGTCAGTATTTAGTTTATGTGAAACATCAACTAAAACATGACTGTTTCTAGTGGTTTCAAAATTTGTTGTTTCATTTGTGACATCATTATTTTGATTAAAAACTTTCATTAACGCTTTTTGAGCCAAGGCTCTTTGCTTATCGAGTAAACTTTTTGGATCGAGAGACAGCTTTGAAGATACTTCTGAATGTTTACTGCTCCCATTTTTCTTACTACTGTCAGGTTTTTCTAAAAGAGGATATGAATTTCTCAAAAGTTTTAAATCATCAGGCTCTGGTTCATCAAATTCACCAAAAAGAGAAATATTGTCTAAGTCTATCACTCCTATTGAAGAATCACTATCGGTTTCAGAGTATTTGTTTAAAAAAGCTTTAGCGGAGTTCCTACATCTTTTTTTAAAATAAACGCTTACAGGATCATCCACATCATTTTCTTTATTTTCCGATGTAAAATCACTGGGTTCAGGAATACAGATTTGATTGTCCGGAAAATCAAAAACATTACTTTCCATAATTAAATTCTAAGTAACAAAACTATTTGCAGTTGACAATTTATGAAAATAAAGTTTTATGCCATTAAATTTAACTAAGAGTTAAAAAGTCGAAATTTTAATATGACTTACATAAAAAATAAATTTACATTAATTAAATTCACTTTTTTTTAAATATATTTAAATAAAAAAAAAAAAAATTTTTTTTTCTCATGACTCACGTCTTGACAATATTTCACGCTTTTCGACCTGTCTGATCTGTTTTCAAATAAACCTTTGTTATTGATGTAACCGTTAAATTCACTGCCTCCGCTATCTTTTTTCAAAGGAAAAAACCATTGGCGTTAAAGTAAATATACCCACACAAATACTTTATTTTTCTTAAAGTAATTAACGCAATGAAATTTTATAAAATTTTTAAACCACTTATCATAAATTTTAATAAAATTTACTCTATTACGTAATATATATAAATTAGGTTTTTAGTTTTCAGTTATAATTTTTTTAAAATGTCGAATAAGAGGAAAAGATCTCAAAGCATTTCTCCTGATAGAGAATTCAAAAGTGCAAATATTGGTCATGAAAGCATAAAAAAACACTCTTTGGATTCAGATGAAGAAGATTCAGAACAAGAAGAAAAAGGACATTATGAAATACTATATGATGATGATATTGAAGGTAAGCTTATTGTCTTAATAAGTAAATTAAAATGATTCATTTTTAATTAAAAAATAAAAAACCACTTTTTAAACTTTCTGTGCTTTAAAGTGGAGTAAGATAATAGTGGTAAAAAATTTCAAAACAAATCGTAATAAAAAACTCATTATGTTTTAAAGATACCCTATTATTTATTGATTGTGCAATACTTTTCATATTAGGTCAAGAAGATGGTATATCGGGAACTGATGGTGAAATCAAAATCACTCCTTTTAATATGAAAGAGGAGTTAGAAGAAGGTCACTTTGACACGGAAGGAAATTTCCATTGGAACAAAGATAATTTAATTAAAGATAATTGGCAAGATAATATAGATTGGATGGAGGTAGCTTAAAATTTACTATTTTACTTAAAAGTTTAATTTAGATGCTAAGTCGCATACCTAAAAGTATCAACGAACAACAAAATTTTTAGCGTTAAAAAAAAAAAAAATTAGTTTAAAATAAAAGATTACTATATTCGTCATCTACAAATAATTCTATTTTATTTAAAAATAGGTTAAAGAATTAGACAAAAATAATGAAAACAAAAATCATTTAGATGATAGTATGGATTCGGAGCCACAATCTCCATTTGATCAAATAGCAGTGTATAAAAAGATTTTAGAATTTATGGAACCTGGGGAAAACATTGCCAAGACCCTAAGAAGGTTAGGAGGAAATAAGTCATTATCTGCTTCTGAACGTCTGAAAAGAAAAAAAGCAGGTTTACTTAATGAAAAAGATGAAGGTTCGTCTAAAGTTACTGAACTAACAGAACTAGCCAATAAACTGTTGACTCGAACTGGAAATATGGATATTTATCAAGAATCTTATCAATATATAAAAAATTTGGTATGAAAACTATTATATATTATTATCTTTCACACTTGTAAGTTTTTAATGTATAAATAATTGAATTTTTTTTTTTTTTAAAAGATTGAAAGTAAATCTGCTCCAAAATATGATGATGTACTTGACATGTATGCAGATGATTTCGATGAAAAAGAAAAAGCGAGAATAGAAAGCAAAGGAACTGAACCTAATAAGTCGAAGGTTACAGAATCAGAAGAAAGCAGTAAGTTTTATTTAAAATCCAATATGGATAATTTTTTTTTTTATTCCACGGCTCATAATTTAAATCATTTTTAATTTAATTAGAAATTTTAATGTGGGAGTACAAAGTTGAAAAAGATGGTGATACAGTGAAGGGTCCTCACACTACAGAACAAATGCAAAAATATGTCGATGATGGATTTTTCAAAGGAGAAGTTTGGGTACGAAAAGTCGGAGTGGAGGGTCCATTTTATTCTTCCAGAAGAATAGATTTTCAATTATATTTATGAATTTAGTAAAAAAAAGCATACCTTTTTTTTTTATGCTTGCTATTTAAACATATTCTTTTTTTTTTTTTTACATCGAAAACTAAATAAAATTTTATTACTTATAATTATTGACAAGGTATAAGAAAAACTTATATAAAATTAATAATTTTAATAAAAGAAATTTTTTTAAATTTTTTTTTCTGGAATATTCTTTATACCTTATCAATTTACAATGGTATTGATAATTCAATTGTTTACAATAAAAAACTTTATTATTTTTTTAATCGAACGGTACAAAATAAAAAAAAAACAAAATTTATTGTTATTTTCAATTCAATTTTTTTTTATTGAAATGTATACATAATAATAATAATAATTTTTGAAATTAAACTATAACATTCTGAAATAACATTCTGATATACATATTTATATATAAATAATTAAAAAAAAAAAGAGAAATTAAATTGAAATTAAAATAGGTTTTTCTAAAAAATAAATTAGGAATGTTTTTTTTTTTTATCAATTATAAAATGGATACAAAATACTTTTTTGTTGTTGTCTTCTTCTAATTATTACTATTATTTAAAATCTATTTATTTATATTTTTTTTTAAATACGTAAAATGAAAATTTATAAATATTTATTTAATAACAAAAACCTATAATAATAATAATTTTTCATATGTTTTTTTCATGATATTATCTGATATATTATCAATAATAAAATTATTATCGATAAATGATATATTTGTGTTTTTTTTTTAATAAAAATAAATAAATTTATGTAACGTGTCGGTTATATAATTTAATAACGAATTCTAACAATAAAATTTAAATCAATTTCGTATTTAATTGACGACTAATAATATATATTTTTTAAAAAAATCTACCATATTGTCTATTATATTAAATTACATAATAAAAATTTTTATTAATTGATTTGTCATCGCAAAACGATTGAAAAAATCACACAAAATAATAATAATAATAATAATAATAATTATTATTATTTTGATTTTATGTAAAAATTTATTATTCGGCTTATTAATTTTCGAGCCGATTATAAATTTGATTTATATTATTTGTGCGTTTTTATTATATAAATAATAGTAATAATTTATTGCCGCTATTAAAAAAAATAAAATTTTTTTTTATATTAAAACTCCTCCCGCTATATCATCCGTTCCCTCAGAATCATCATGTAATTTATTATCATAAAGAGGAGATGAAGAAGAAGCAGAAGACGTTAAATTAATTATTTGTTTACATTTTGTTTTTAAATGCTTATCATTAATTAAATCACAATTAAAACATGTACTTGGTCCCACCATGTTAATTGATATATATTTATTATCATTTAAATTTTTTTTATTTATTTTTTTTCCTTCAACACTATCATCATTATCATCATCGTCATCATTTTCTATTATTGTTACGTTTGATTTTTTATTTTTTATTATTTTTTTTGTGTGTTTACTTGATTTACCATCATCATCATCAACATCGACGCCTTGCTCTTCGTCGTTTGAAATTAAGTTATTGCTTTTTTTACTATGATAATGATGATGATTATTATTATTATTATTATTATTATTATTATTATGTGATGTTATGTTAACGACGCAGTCTTTTTCGTTATTACTCGTATATTTTTTTTCATCGTCGAATTTTTCCATGGCATCGTCATCATCATCACCGCCATCATCATCCATCGCGATTATTTTTTCTTCGTTTGAATTTTTTTTTATTACATTAAAAGACTCCATTGAAATATTATTAAAAACGTTCGTTAACATCGATTCATTATTATTATTATTATTATTATTATTATTATTAACGGTCAGGGGAAATTTTTTTTTCTTATTTAATAAATAAGATTTATTTAAAATATCCCGTCCGTCGTTATAACATACTCCGAGCTAAAAAAAATTAATTTAAAAAAAAGGGTAGTAAATTAAAGGGAAAAAATTAATTAATAATAAATTATTATTACGGGGAGGGGGGGGGTAGGGTAGTAATAAATTTTAATTACCTCATTTATCGATTGCCTTCTTTTAATTTCGTCAACCAATTCGGAAAATTCCGCTTTTAACGTATTTATTTTTTTTTCATTTTTATCAATTTCTTTATTTTGTTGCGTCGAATGTGTTGTTGTTGACGTCATCGTTTTCGATGAAGAAATCTAAAAATTATTTATTTATTTATTTATAAAAAAATGGCGTAAAAATAAAATTACTCACTTACTCACTTCTTTTATTATTTGTTCCGATGAATTGTTGATTTTAGATGTTAAAATGGGAAATTCTTGTTCTCCAGGTACTCTTCTATTCAATAATAATTTCCATAATATTTCAATTTGATCTTCTAAATATTTTAATAATAATTCAGCTGTTGGACCTAAAGCTCTTTCAGCTAAAACGCTAACAAAAACTTGATCCGCATACGTCATTGTTGTTATTGATATACCTAGATTGGCTTGTGCTGGTAATATCGGATAAATTCCTTTAAGTGTTTGCCCTGTTATTACAAATTTTATCATTTATTATTCTTTTAATCACACACAAAAAGATTATAGAAGCCATCACGCGACCTTCTAATAATATTTCAGACGTGGGACCAGGTAAAGAAGAAAATTGTAAACTTGCTCTTCCGGTAAAAAAATTTATCAAATGACGTGCAAACGAAGCTGAACCTATTGACATTAATGCAGCTGTTGCCACGTAAAAAATCACAGGATCTGCCGAAGTTCTCATTGTATTTAACGTTTTTCTCGTTGCCCACAATCGTGGTACGCATCCTTCTATTGCCACGGGCAATGGCATTATTATTGTCGATGTTTTATTACCCAATTTTGTTTTTAATGATGTTGAAATTTGATCTCTTAAATCCATCGGTACGACAACCTAAATTTTTTTTATATTTAATTAATATTTAAAAATTTTTTAAGTTTTTATTAAAAAATATTTTACTTTAACATCCGGTGGTTGTTTAACTCCACATCCTTGTAAAAGTCGACGAAGAGCTCCGGCCAAAGCGGATAGTAAAACACAATTAACGGTTGATCTTGTAACTTGTTTAATTCTAATAACCTGAAATCCATTTTGTTTTTCTCTTTTAAATTCTTTTTTTATTAAGGTGTATAATCAAATAAATAAATAATTTACTTTAGGTAATGTTATGGAAGCCGACCAAGTAACCGTAACGGATCCCGTCCAAGCCGTACGATGTGTAAGAATGTTACAATCTTCACCGGAAAATAAAAACCAAAGGAGTAAAGTCAATGGTCCGACAATACAAGCTCGGAAAACGTTCATGCAAAATGAAAAAGTTCCAAATCTTGGTCTTTCCGGTATTTCAATGATTTGCGAATCGGCTAAAGAATGACAAAGTAACCTCATTAATGCCGTACCATCTGCCACGCTCTGATGAACTCTAAAAATAAAAAGCGAACAAAGAAATCATTGCTGTAGGTTTATTTGTTAAAGAGCCAAACGTTACGATGATAATAATAATAACCTTAAAATGACAACGATATCTTGATTGATACCAAAAGATTGAAAAACTTGTAATTGCCAAGGTGGTTTGTCTTCGGGAAGACCATCAGCAATTAATTTCGATACGTAATCTTGAAGATCTTTTTCATTGGATAAAAATGATGGACCCGGAAAAACATGTTCATCGATTGAAAATTTCAAATCCGTCATCCAACAATTACCAACGTTGGAAAGAAAAAAAACGGGTAAAGAAATCTAAAAAATTATCATTATTATCATTATTTTCTCTGACGATGACGATGATGATGATGATGGTTTGGTAATAATTTAAGATATTAACCAGTCTTTGTGTAAGGCGTGGATAAATAGGAATGACACGTTTAAGTAACAAACGACGAAAATGATCAACATTAACGCCTTCTTTTCCTTCGAAAACAAGTACGGCGTGTATAACAGACGAACGCCATTCCGTACCCAACCAACGGCTATCGTTTCCTCGAACTGATTCCGACCCTGAAAAATTTAAATTTATATTAAAAAAAAAAAAAATATTCTCTCTCTCTCTCTCTCTATTTGTTTGTATATTCCTTTTCTCGAATCGAATTTTTTTTTTTTTTTTAAATAGAAAAATAATAAACTATTCTCAAAATAGAATTTTTACACATTTAATTTACAAACACATTTTTTTAAAAAAACGATTTCACAATAATAATAATAATGATGATAATGATGATGATCTTATTCTAAAGAAAGTGGATAATTAAATAAATGAAAAAAAAAAATTTTTTTTTTTTTTTTTTAAACAAAACATTTAAATGTAACATTGCAAAGTTTTTTTTTTTTTTTTAATAACAACAACATTATTATTATTATTGTTTTTTTAAAAGTTTTCGATTTCAACACATCTGTTACAACCCAACTGTGGATTTTTATTAAAAAAACTTTTTGGTTTAAAAAAATTTTTTATAAATAAATCTTGCCTGAACCATTGTTTCCTCCTTGACGATTACAATGTATAAAAAATAATAATAACCATCTAACGGACATGCAAGCTGGAAGAACTAATAAAAATCCCAATAATAATGGTAAACTTAATGCGAGGGATACAACCGTGGATACGA